ATTGCCTAAACGGAGATAGTATCAAAAATTGATTATAGGCATTGTAGGTTTGCCTAGTGATGGGTTAAGACTTAAATAGGGATGTTTAGTTCAATTAAGATTGGACTTTGGGTAGTCTCTTATTAAGAGTACGTGTGGGCTTGAGATTTGATACATCAGTGGAGTACTCCTACGTACAGAAGTACATTTAATGTACGAAGACCCTTTCAACAAGCTCTGTGTCTTGGGTGCATGCTTGTGCCAGGGTATATTATGTTCTCGGGTACGAGTCTTCGCATACCGAGTACTATAATGTGCCAAAGTACTATCATGTACAAAGTCTTTTTGACAATTTTGTGTGTCGGTTACGGGAGCGTACGAGAGTACTCTAGTAGTATTTCCCATACTTTTATTTTGAGAGAGCTTTGAGTCAGCGTTTCTTTTATGAAGTGATCGAACGAGCTTCATATGTCATCGTTTTCTTTCACGAAGTAATTAAGGGAACTTCGTAGACTGCCTAATAAAGTGTGTCGGTAATAGACCACTGCTAGGTATGTCTGGTGTTATATTGCTGGATAGGGTGCGTCGGGGGTGAAATACCTCATGTCTTCAGGCCACTGCTAGGCAAAGTTAGATGTGGATAGGGAACAGTCTGGGGGTATAATACCTCATGATAGTCGGACCACGCCTAGGCATTGTTTATCTAGATAACTACCCCTGACTTAACTGTCTTGTGGTTCTTTCTTTTACGAACAAAGGTTCGTGGTGAAACTTATTCCATTCCCCTCATTTGATGTCTTTATTGATCCTCGTTTGTTGCCAGGGAATTTCCGAAGCAGCTTCGTCAGTTCGTTGTTCATATTGATTCCTTAGGCTGGATCTCGTAAGGTCATTGTATAGGGTCAGTATGTGGGGATCGACGGGATGGATAGATTGTTTTAGAAATATGATTTATATTGTGTTAATAATATTAGTGGTTTTGGCAGGATCGAGATATACATTATTATCACCTTGTTTGAACTAAGAGCTTCGTACTCTGTGTTCCTTGGTGATTGAGTTCACCAGGGATATTTGAACTAAGTGTTCACTAGATGTTTTGAACTATGTGTTCACCAGGGATATTTGAACTAAGTGTTCATTAGGTGTTTTTGAACTAGTTGTTCATCAGGTGTTATTGAACGGAGTTTGTTCACTGGGTGTTCTTGAACTAGGTGTTCATTAACTATTTTGAACTGCGTGTTCACCAGAGGTAATCTAAGAACCTTGGCAGCACTAAACTTTGTACCAATTCCTTAGGGCAATCCTTAGGAATTAAATGGGAGAAGGGTAATCGGTTCTTAGGGTAAATCTTTAAGAAATAAATGAAGATAATGGGGGTGGGTAATTGGATTGATTGTTTGATAAGTGAATATAATAATTATATTATTGTGGGTTGAAAACCCTATATGCTCACCAGGCTCCCAAGCCTGACCCTCTCAGTTTTCTTTTTATTACAGGTTATGGCACGAGAGCATAAGTTGGCTGACATAACGAGAGATTTTGGATTATAGGCCAGTAGTTATGAATAACTGTTGTAAGGTCTATTTTGTTCTGTTTATGCTTTTGGTCTGTATTGAACATGACATCCCGATTTTGTTATATATGAAAATACATTTCTTTAAGGAATGCTTTGATAAATTCTTATCATATTTTTGTTTTGGGAACAAATTCCGCAACTGTTTTCTTTAAAAGATTACTCTGATTTTAAAAACAAAGCATAAACAAATCGGTCTTTTCTGGCCGTGAAATTGGGGATGTCACATAAAGCTTAACAGTAGGTAGAGGGAGTATAAATGTACCAGACAACCTAATTCGATGAAGGTGAGGGTAACACAGGAGAAGGCATCAATGCTTGGTCTTGAACCAAACGATGACAACGATCAGTATTCCGAGAGAGTGTTGATGTGGGCAGAAAAACAACACAAGAAGCCATCAAAATCAAGGGAGCAGACAAAAGCAGTAGCACACGATTACTGAGTAGCGAAAGACGGCGATGGATGGAGACGCTGGAAGTAGCAGCGAAAAAAAAATATCGTCTGATGTTTTACGGTGTACGATTGCTTTCAGGCTCGATATCATGTTGAGTAATGTGAAAACCCGTTGATTAGGGTTATGTGTATTTAAACAATATATATACGATACAAGTTACACAAAGGGACCCTATATTATACAAAATGATAAGAACATGCTAAACTATTTAACAAAATTGTTATTAGTATTTATGATTGATCTAATAACTTAGACAATTTGAGAGGTTGCCACTAACCTAGGGACTAATCATACCTGTTAAGTCATTCATAATATGAATGAATATACTGAGTCCAGGAAAGCTATCCTTGCTGTTAGATAACTTAGAGTGATAGGATTAATTGATACATCCCTATTCCCCTTGAGTTCGACATCCTTACATACTTCAACTAATACTATTCATGATCAGGTACACTGCCTGGTGCTAGTGGTTAGTTTAATTTGTTAGGATGTATAAATTTAAAACTAGATCTGTAGTTTAAATTAAGTTTATTTTAGTAGACTATTTTATGCACATCAGGATCCCAATAACTATTTTGGATATCAACTCCCTCTCAAGAAGGACTACCCTTCATGCAACAAACATTTTGCTCTCAAAAGGTTTGTAAAAAATTACCCAAAAGTCTTGTTGGGATATCCAACGAGATAACATATCTCTTTTCTACATCCTAGATTGTCGAGCGATTCACGACTAACATAAGCCTTATAATCGGAGTCATTCATATATGCTAAAAAGGGATGAGCCCTTACTCCATATCTCAGAGAGTGTCTCGTAAACCAAGGACTTTTGAAACACTATTCATGGTACAATCCATGATGGAGGGAGAAGGGTGCACGGTTTATGTCTGGTAGGCAGTCTGAAACACATTAGCTCGGTAATATATCTAAACCATATCAGGTAATTCATGTATGTTCGAATGACGTGATGTCGCAATAGGATGAACGCATGCTATGCCCAGACTGCGCTATTTCCTAATGTATGACAGTTCATATCAACAACACATGTTTTTTTAAAATCAAAAACTCGATAAATGTCGGACGGGAGCGGAGACGGGATCTCTGGTGGGATATTTGTTGCTTCACACCGAACAGACTTTGCATAATTTTATGAAGCACCATTTCAGCATACGGGGTGAGTACGGTAGTCAAACTCCCTGAAAAGTAAATATGATCAAATAAGGTTCTTGTACAAGTAATTAAATAAATTTAATATTTCACCCGCTATTTTACCTGCCATTAAACTGCGTTTAATGAAAGTCCATTGAATGTAGTCACGAATTGCCTCGTAAGCATTTTTATTGGTACATTACGTTGATTTACCGATAAGACAAAATTTTTTGGGGAACATCAATGTTGACTACATTCAAACGGATGTTAGGGAAATAGGCTCTTGCCCATTTCGCATGACCGATGTTGGCAAGCACTTCACGAGCATCAGGGGTCAGCCGACGAAAGTTTTCTTCAAAATCACACACAATATATGAGTTGGATGTCATCCAGAACAAAGGTTGTAATGTTCCGCTAGAGACGCATCTTGTGCGCATATACTTGAACACACTTTAGAAGTATACTCATGATAAGAATCAGAGAATACATGCTCTATGCAAGAACTAACAACATCGTCCATATTTGCTATGAACGATACTTCCCTACCCTATCTCAGAGCATCTCTTAACCTCATAAGGAACTAGGTACAACAGTAGAGATTATTTTCCATGTTCATACCAAATGCTATAGGGAGGGTCTAGTTGTTCTCATCGATAGCAACCACTACAAACATTGTTTTTAGGTAGACCCCTCTAAGAGGGACACTACCTATGAAGATGGCAGGCAAGAGCAACCTATAAATGCATGGACCTTATATTTTTGGGAACAAAAACAAATTAATTTAGATGTAGAAACATTATCAATTTTAAAGAAACAATATAAAAGTGCAAAAAAACAAATATATCACCCATCCAATAGCCACAAAACAAGCTTCGAAACTATCCATCAAATCAGTTTTGATGTGAGTGTAAGTATGCGGGTTAGTTCGCCTAAGGTTGTGAAGGTAAACAAACAGGTTGTTAAAGCTTTCTTCGTGCTGACTCTCTGAGAAACTCATTTTGAAACAGTTATAAGAGATAATTACGAATTACTTGGTTGAAGCCTTGAAGGTAAGGTTCTAAGGACACACACACACATACACACACACTGAGGTTATAATCTGGAATAGGAACTTTGAAACGAAGACCACAACTCTGAAATACTATGTTCCAGAGCATGTGATCATTTTACTAAAAATATTGGTTATTTTTGTTAAAATGATCGTTTATAAGGGTTAGATTACTCAATTTCCGTTATATAAATGTTAATATAACTTGTAATTAATCAAAAAGAAAAAACAAATACTCCCTCCGTCCCATATTTATTGTCTACTTTGGACTTTTGAAGTTTTTATCCTTTAAATTTGACCTTAAATATTTTTATTTGTGTTATATATTATATGATAAAACTTATAACAATGAAAAAACATTTAAAACACAATCAAATCATACATTTTTCTTCAACTATTATATATCAAAAAACAAAAATATTAAAGGTTAAAGTTGAAAAATAAAGACTTCAAAAGTCAAAAATAGACAATAAATATAAGACTGATGTAATATATATATATATATAGAGATATCTATATATATATTATATATATATATAATATATCTATATATAATATATATATATATATATTACAAGTCATTTTAAATGAGTCACAAACCAAAATAGGGACCATCTATATACCAAAAAAATTAAGGATGAAACTTACAAATCTAATAAACTATAGGGACCACATACGTAATTAGGTCTAAAGTAATCATATGAATAATAATTAAAAAATTGAGGAATGGGACAGCCCGTAAAACTAGATTTGAAAAAAAAATGTGAAGATCTTTCTAGTTTTATCTTAAAAAGACGGGGGAACATATGACAAAAGAGCCTCAAGTCTTCTGTCCTTTTCCCTTTCACCATAACCAATGAATACAAGCAGACATGAATCATATGATGTATCTGTTTATCTACCAATCTTCTAAATTACAATAGTTGACTAACTTCACACGATATCTCCACGATATCTCCAGTGTGTACAGTATAAGATCGTCTTTCATAATACTCCAAGTCTCCAATTGTGTGGTGATTCTGATTTTTGTTATTAATGCTGTAAGAAGACTGAGAGATGAACCCTACAAGCAACAACGTGGGTTCAATCTATGAGTTGCAATCACAACACCAGATTAACATTCGTGGCGTTTCTCATAATCATCCACCACCACCACTTCCATTGAATCTACCTCGTTCAGATCTACTTGTTGGTAAGTTCTTCAATCGTACACCAAATTCCTACCAGATCTGTTTCTATAATACCCTCAATCGAGTTTGTACTATATTCATTGTTATGATGTGCTTCAAAGCCTAAGCTTCGAATTAAATACTCATACAGGATATACGTACGAAACTACGAATTGCTAATTTGTGATTAGTAACTTGATTTTGGAATTACTTTGAAGGAAGAAGAGAAGATTACAACGATATTTGTGTTCCTACTTATAAAGCGACAATAACTGGAAATTGGAAAGCTGCCAAAATCATCCTTGATAAACGAAGAGAGCTTGTAAGGTTTAGCATCACTGAAAGTTACGATACTGTTCTTCACATTGCTGTAATGGGGAAATCATACTGGTTTGTGGAATATCTGGTGAGTTTAATGGAAAAAGAAGACTTAGAACTTCAAAATCAAAAAGGTCAAACTGCTCTCTGTTTAGCTGCCATAGCTGGAAATGTCAAAATAGCTACGATTTTGGTGAATAAGAACAGGGCCCTGTTGGATATTCCCTGATAGTAGAGGAATGATGCCACTTTACATGGCTGCTTTATTTGGAAAACATGATATGGTGAGGTTTCTTTATCATAATTCCCGGAATATGAGTGGTGATTTTTGGACACATCATAATAGAGGTTGTGTTCTTGTGAAATGTGTTGAAGCTAATCTATTTGGTAAGTATCTTGATATATCTTTGTTAGTTGATTTTGTCATAAATAATTTTCTCATTAAGTGAATGTCAAATACTTTGTGTAGATGTTGCATTACAAATTGTGACAGATCGACCGGAACTTGCTATAAATGGAAGTGTACTTGGATTATTGGCTCGAAAACCTTACGCATTTGATGCTACAAGAAGTAATACATTCAAGAGAATCATATACTCATGTAAGAATTTCATTATTATATACCAGACATCATCATAAAAATGAAAATTCCACTCACAAGTATGACATAATTCATATATTCTACTTAATTTATTAGTTTTGGAAGCATGTCATCTGAAGGTTGGAATTCCCGACATGGAAACTTACGCCCTACAATTACTACGAGTCATTTGGGCAGCGATTGTGAAACTACCCAAGGCTCAAAATTGATGAAATAATAAGGGGCCCACCCGATCAACCTAAGGATGATATAAAGCAAACACGCGATGAAAAGGAAAAACAAGAAACACTTCTACTACTAAGAACCATATCAGACAACATTATAAAAATGCCTTCTAGAATCTACAACCTATTCCGATGCCCTACTGATGAAAACGCAGCCACTTCGAAAACTGTAAAGCAAAAATACTCATCGCGAGTATTATTTCTTGCTGCAGAAATGGGCAACACTGCTTTTTTAGTGGAGGTTATTCGGCAATATCCACATTTAGTACGTGAGGTAAATGATAATAACCATAGTATATTTCATGTTGCTGTGTCACATCGTCATGAAGGGATCTACAATTTATTGTATGAGATAGGCGCACTCAGGAACTTGATAATTACTCTTGAAGATAAAAATGGCAACAATATTTTGCATATAGCTGGGGAGAGTCCGAAAATTAATAGACTACAAAATATCCCAGGGGTTGGTCTTCAATTGCATCTAGAAACATTATGGTTCAAGGTATGTCTTTCTAAATGCAAGAATTAGCAACGTAATTTTTATGTTTTTCTTTATTATATCATTATACCTCCGCATTGTACTTTCAAATTATTTCTTATTAGAGTATTGTACTTTGAAGAATATATCAATGTGTAACCCAATTGCGAAAACCAGAAATAATTTTGAAGTACAATTTTGTAATAAGAAATGGAAATTACATTACGTTTAAAATGCGACATGCGACATATTTCCTATATTCGGTAGATTTTTCAAAATACAATGACTTAATAATAAATGATTTTTCAAACTACTATGGTAAGAAATGAAATCAGTCCTTGTTTGTATATAATTTCCTATTTCTTGTAAAACAAATTTTGATCTAATAATGATGTAATCTTTGTGATATTAGGAAGTAGAAGCCATACTTCCTCCACCTTTTCGGGAAAAAAAGAACACAGCGGGTCTAACACCACATGAAGTATTTGTCAAAAACCACAAAGAATTATTTTCAAAAGGTGAAGAGTGGATGAAAGAAACAGCCGCCCAATTAATGGTGGTTGCATCACTTATAGCCACCATATCATTTGCAGCTGCATTTACATTTCCAGGTGGATACGACCAAGTAACCGGGATGCCCATTTTCCTCAAAAAAAATCTTTCAAAAATCTTCATAATATTCGATGGCTTATCATTTATATCCGCCACAGCTTCAATCCTCTTGGTGTTATCTATTTTGGGATCCGATTACACTGAACATGATTTCATGATTTCGTTACCTCAACAACTTATGATGTGTTTAGCATCACTTTTCATCTCTATAGCTACCATGATCCTCACTTTTCTCATCAACTTTTTATTACTTTATCAAAATAATTCTAAATGGATACCGATTTTTATCAGTTGTTTTGCTGCGGTTACGTATATGATATTTGGTAGCCCAAAGTTTCCTCTTTTGGGTCGGTTCTTATATGGTTCTAGGTTTCTTTTTGAAAGGGAGAAGGGAATGCTTAAGAAACCCATCTTTTAGATTGTAAACGCAATTTTGTCAGTGTTAGATGTTAGAATTATTTTGTATTGTTTTTGTAATTATAGTATACATTAGGGGCTAGTGATGTAAATGTATACCCAGATATTTGTCAAAAGACATTATATATGATGATGTTTTGGCCCTCAAGTCATATGTTCACACATGTTATGAATTTTGTTGTTATGAGATGTCTTGATCTATATAAATTAAAGCGGGTGTCACGGCTAGATACATTGGATCCTCTCTGGAAGGACTTAATAAATCCGAAATCTTGGATAACTGAAGAAATGAGAGGAAGCATAAAAAAAATCTTGTTTTTTTCATGATGAAATTCGATGGAATATTTCAACCTATTTTATGCTTGAAATTGCATTGAGATTTAGATTAGCATAAAATAACATGAAATCAAAGGTGGTTCTTATATTAAGGAGCTTACCAAATTCGGGGGTGCACCAAATTGTGATGATCGGGAAACATTTAATAGCTTCTTAGCCTTTTATAATATTTTACGAGGCTATATCAAGCTGTCGGGGCCTAGATATGTTACCAACAATCATTATGAATAGAAGATCTATGGGGTTAGGGTTAACCCTCACGGCTTTACAAAACGTGTCTTACCAATTAAGGTGAAGATTGCAATTATAAGCCTCTCTTCTGTTTGTGAGCGACGTGGGAGAAGAAGTACCAATAAACCCTCCCATAAGCGTTCCACCATAAGGAACGTATCAATGCTCCACCCCTACACTTGGAGACCATTCGTTCTTGAATGGTGGTCTAGAGAGTTGTCTCCCACAACGAGCCCAACGAGAGGTGGTTGATACCATTGATGCAACCCTAACCCAAGTGATCAGATATTGTCCACTTTGTGGTTAATCCTCATGATGTACAAAACACGTCTTACCAATTAAGGCCAAGATTGCACTTACAAGCCCAAATTCTATTATATTTGTGAACAATGTGGGACAAGAAGTACCAATACACCCTCCCACAAGGGTTCCCCCACAATGAACATATCATATTTTAGGCGCATGTGATTAACACCTTATGTCACCCATTGGTTTTGACGTAAAGTGAGGAAAACCATGGGAGATTTTATGTGTAGCATCACAATATAGATACTTTTCATTCGCTTAAACATCCGATAAATAGGTCTTCAATCCTTGAAGAATTGAATACATTTATTGATATCAGGTAAGCTATTGGTTACTCTATGCAAGGATGTGAGTCTAATATTCGGGAAATTTAGTATAAATAATGGAGCTAATTAACAAGGGTTGATGAATATTCTATCATAGAATATCCAATGTTTTACCAAATTAAAGAATAGAACTTGGGTAAGAATGTTATATAATGATAATTATATTAACTTTATTTCAATCCAAGAGAAAAAATGAATTGTATGAATATTTTTGCTATCAGATATGTGTAGAGGAATTCTTTGTATAGTTTTGCATGTACTTCTTCTAGTGATCGATCTGGTTTAATGCTTTGTGTTTGGGGTCAAAAGATGTTTGTAAAACATATGATTCTTATAAATCCTTGTTGATTGTGGAAGGTGTTTAGGTTCCAACTAATACTTCTTTCTTAGTTGTGTATGTATATGGTCCATAAGATCTCACAACTAATAAGTTGTTATAGGCTCAATTGCACGATATTATTATTGTATGGAAAAGAGAGGTGATGTTGATGGGTGATTTTTAACGAAGTATAGTTGGAAAGTGAAAGATATGGCTTAGTGTTTCATAGTTAAGAAAAATATTTGTTTAATGCTAACCTATGTAATATGGGATTGGTAGATGTACCTCTTGGAGGGTTCTCTTTCATTTGGATAAATTATACAATTAACTATATGAGCAATTTGGACAAGTATTTAATTTCTGAAGGTCTCATGGAGATGTTCTCTAAATTTTCGGACATGATTCTTGATCGACATCTTTAAGATCACCGCCCCATTTTACTCAAAGAGGTGGTGAATAACTATTACCCAATCCCATTCCATTTGTTTCATTCTTGGATTTTACATGATGATTTCAGAAACTGGTGCATGATTCTTAGTAGAATGATGTGGTTTTAGAGAATAATGTTATGGTGTATTTTAAGAAGTAACTATAAATGTTGAAGCAAAAGATTAGGGTACATAGTAATGTTAAACATGAGGCTTGGTGTAACATCCCAAAAATACAAGGTAAAAATGTCATTTTTCCATCAATATATACCATTCATTAAATCATTCATAAGATAATCAGAGTATAATGTATTCTCAAAACATCAGAGTAAAGTCATAAAATAGATAGTGCGGAAAAACTTTAGGGGATGTAATGTCATCAAGCTAGACATTTTCCTTTGGAACTAGAAGTACCTGAAATAATGAACTTAAAACCGGAAGCACGAAGCTTAGTGAGTTTCCCCAAAATACCACATACCATACATAAAATCACGGGTCTATTTCAACCCCAAGTGAATGATATGAGCCAAATCATAGTCTTACAATCACTTCCTGCCATGGGCCAAATCATGGTTTTTCCTTACAATGGCAAGTGTCAAATCCTGGTCATACATACAAGTTCCAAGGCCAGATCATGGTCTTTCATACAATTTTTAGGGGTCTGATCCTCGTCTTTGATATAGTTGTCAGGGGCCAGGTCATTCATGCAAGAGTAACAAAGACAATATAGCATCCTAGATAGTATAGTAAGAAGACTCACCTGATCAATGACCTTTAATCCTCTACTCGAAAACCTCACAGAATCAGCTACATGATTCTCCTAAACAATCCCAAATCAAACCTCAAGCTACCACTCAAAACCTCCCTACGTTTGATTAAAAGTCAAAATTGTCAAAATTCAACGATCAAGGTCAAAGTCAACTCAACACACTACCACGTCGTGGTCAACTAATGACCATATCATGGCAGCTACACGACAAAACAATCGTGAACCCACCACCACCTCGTGGCGAGCACCATGCCACATTGTGGTTTTTGGCCCAAGAAAGTTTAATTAAATAAGCTCTAAATTTGTTCATTCCTTTGTTCAGACTTTCTAGAAGACTTCCTTATGTTCCAAAGAACCTTAAAAATTCTTACTTTATGGACATGCATGTCCAATGCATGTCTTTCCTAAACTAGGTCAAAATGAAGAGAAAAGTGACCTAATTCTCATGTATGACTCCAAAACACTTTCAAGTTCAAGATCTGAAGGATAAAACACTCAAAATGCACTCAAGGTTAATGAAGTTGTAAACTTTATATGGATTTCATCCATAAACTCCAACCAAGATCATAAAAATGGACTCAAAGTGCCATAAATGCAAGATCTATGAAGCTAGGAACATCAAGAAGAGAACATGGACACTTACAAAGGTCCAACAGATGCACAAGATGTTGAGTTGATGCTTGCTTGTTGCTCGCTAACTCCACAATTGCTTATTTCTTCCTTCAAAGAGTCAAAAAAAAAAACCAAATGGAGCTCAAATATGAAGATGGATGGATTAGGGTTTGGTTCGAAGCACTTGGAGGGGATGTAGATTGAGGGTGGAAACATGAATAAGTCGGGTGCTTGGAAAGAAGTAGTATAACACGTAGGTGATACAATTTTCAATTGGAAGGTCAAGACTCTATCAGTTGGTGGAAGATTGACTTTATTGAAGTTAATGTTGGGATCTCTTCCTACTTATCTTATGTCCATTTAAAAGGCCATGTAGGTATGCTTTCCCAACTTGAATCGTTGCACAAAAACTTCTTTTTTTGCGGTCTGATTTGGAGGAAAGTAAAATGACATGAGTTAGTTATAATGACACACAAGCAATATGGTGGTCTTTAGATTAGTACTATGTTTACTCTTAATTGGGCCTTACTGTTTAAATAGATATGGCGCTTTCACAATAATCCTAATGCTTTTTGGGGTTAGGGTGGTGAAAGTTATTCATGGTTCCCATGGTTTTATAGATTTCACTTTTCCTGCTCATCGAAATTCCACTTGACTGGATCAGCTTGAGGGAGAAAAATGTGGATTTATTTGATCAATGTAAAAAGAAGATTGGAATGGGTCTATTACTGTGTTTTAGGAGGAAATACAGTTGGGAAATTCTTCTTTACGCCTTTAATTTCCTAGAGTCTATGCCCTGGAATTGAATAAGCAGATTTTTGTGCAAGTGAAGATGAGGCAATATGGGTTGGTGGAGTCCTTTCGTTGGCATCCAAATAGGTAGGGTAATCAGCAATGGGAATATCTCTTTTCCCTTATGTCCACCATTTTGTTGTCTTCATTTCAAGATCGGTAGTCTTCGTCTTTGGACGGTTCGAGATATTTTAAGGTTGCTTCTACATAAGCTTGTATTGGCAATCATGGTTTGGAGCTCACTTCCATCCTAACTGGATGGCTCTGATGAGTCCCTATTAAAGTTAGTGTTTTAGCTTTGCGCTTGAGTTTGGATAAAGTTCATTTTAGGTTTAACTTGGATATAAGGGGGTTAGACATTTCTTCGCTTCTCTGTCCCTATCGATGTTGAGAAGACCTCTTACTTGTTCTTTGGTTGCTCTATTGCTACTGCATTGTTGGTTCAAGTAACTATGTTGGGGGGGGGGGGGGGGGTCTCTTGGTTCCCACACGTACTTGTTATGATGATTGGCTTACTGGTTTACTTCTCTTCGTTTGAAGAAAAACTTAAAAGATTATTTATTTGGAGGTTGTGTTGCTTACTATGTGGTTGTTCATTTGGGGTTTGAGGAATAATAGTTTGTTTTATAGGAGTAATTTGAAAAAGACAATTTTTTTTGATAGAATTGTGATCCAGTGGTATTTATGGCTTGACAAGAGGAATAATAGTGTTAACATAAATGTGGTTGGTTGACTTCAAAACCCTATGATTGGTGTTTCTTGACATACTCTGTTTTGTCTAGCTATTTGCTAGCTTTTTGAATAAAATTTCTACCGTTCAAAATTTTTTAGAAGAATATATCGTGAATACCATAATTTTTGTAAATATCATAACAAATCAAATAAAGAGATGAATTAAACTCTTCGCAAAGTTTTCATTAAAAAGGAATATGTTGTTGATAAACACATACACAAAACTTATCTCTAGAAAATAACTTGTTAATTCATTTGAACATTTGTTTGCAAACTATTTTGTTGTGTTTTGTAAACCAAGAGTTTGGTAAACAATTTTATGGTCAAGAATGCTCTTAACATTTAGATTTAAAAAAA